CAGAGAGGAACAGTAAGGGAACGAGGTCTCACACCTTAGAGCTTGCCTTTCTTCTTCTTCCCTCGATTGGGAAATCAAAATCCTTCTTGCAGGTCGAGTCTTCTGACGATCCACTACATCTATTGGTATCAGAGCCTGGAGCTTGTGAAGATCGATGGAATGCAGAAGGTCGTCTGTCGACGACGATCGAAGCCGAAGAACAAGGGATACGATCGGGCTGTCGAGACGACGATCGAGCTGTCGAGACGATCGATGCCGAATAAGATGGGTGGTCGACAAAGATCACCACTGAAGGAGATGGGTGATCGACGACGATCGACGACGATCGACGCCGAAGAAGACGGGAGATTGATGACTATCCTCCTCTTGAGCTTCCACTCCAATGTCGTGATCCGCCGCCGGAATACCCTACTCTCGAATTTACGCTCAAATGGCGGAACCCATTTCCTGACCGTTTAGTCCGCAATCAAGCCGCGGCCTTCGTCCGTGACTCGCCTTCGCTCCGGCCTCATTTAATCGCCCATGATCCTTCTGCCGCTTCGTCTCGCAACCACACTCGTAATCCCGACCCCGTGATTCAAGATTTCGCCAATCCTCACGAAAATGGCCACCGAAGAAGAAGGGATGTCGATCGTGCTCAATGTCGGGAAGTCCTTCGGTTGGCTCAAGTGAAAGATGTTTTATGTGTTAATTTCATGCAATCGGTGGAGAGAATCATGAGCAGGCCAGCAACCATATCGTCCCCGTCGCTCATCTGCTCCACCAACACACAGACGCAACCGAACCTGCTTCCGCCTACTGATTCGCCTGCAAACAATCATTCCGTCGCCGATTCCATTGATTCAAACCATCGCTCAAGTGGCGATCCAGCTCCCGCCAGTATAGAGCATTACGTCCACGACCCGATCTGCTCTAGCTCAAGTCGGACGGATACAGAAGACGTCCCAAAAATGAGCCCTCTCGCCAACGCCAAAACTCCTCCACCCCCGCCTGACCTGCCGCTCAGCTCCCATGATCCCAGCTCTGCGAAGCAATACCACTCTGTCTCCGCCTTCAGATCTACCGACTGCTCTTCCTCACTCTAGTTCAATGTTGCTCTCGTACCCACGGATCGAGCAGAAAAACATCTTGACGTCGATTTCAACTCCACCGACGATCCCGCTCTGTTTTTCGATGCCGATGATGGGGAAGAAGACGCCCCCGTGACCGCAACTTGGATACTTCCAACTCCGGTGAAGGATCCAATGATAATGAAATCGAACGATAGCTTCTCCGATGTAGATCTGTATCTGGATATGGAATACGCTTCGTCGGTGGAAGTTGGAATTTACCACTCAAATAGCGTTGTGCCAGCTGGCGGCGGAGCTTCACCAGGCTTCATCATGCTTGATTTCGCTAAATCCAAGCCGACGCATAGCTAAACCGTCAGCCACAGCATCTCATCATCAGAGGTCGCTGTGGTATCAGACGACGGTGGCAGCGCGATGGAGGACATGTCGACTTGCACCGGCGACAGCGGCGGGGAGTTGAAACCTGCTGCAATGCCACCGACCATTGTGATGACCATGTGTGAGTTTGAGATGCCAGACATCATTGCCCGATCTATATCGATACTCTCTGATGCAAGGCGTGAAGAATATAGTGTTATTTTCATGTCCGGAAGCGGAAGCTCCATCATAGGCATTAGCTTGCCATACCCGCTTCAATGTGTTAATGATGAAGATGAACACAATGATATTTTCATATCAGAGGCTTCCTTTCTCTCGGTATGTCATTATCTTCTTGCCTTAGTATCTCTAAAATAAAAATAAATGATGTGGAGGTGTATGGCATTGCTACTGGATGTGGTACTCGGAGCATTTTTACTACAGGTGAGAAAATTTCTGGTCTGAATTTAATCGACAAAGCCAGTCTAATGCAATGCCCCCAAGCTGTTCGACGTAATGTTAATGAAGGGTTTGACACCAAATTTGTTGGGCTAGGTGATAAGCCTGTTGGTACTTAAATTATTGTAATGATACAAGTCAACATAGCAAAGAAAAATGCCAAAACTGATGGAATACGAAGTACATTGATTAACATGCTTCTTGGAGGCTTGAAAGTGTGGTCTGGAAATCCTATCATGTTCTCAAGGTATGACACAAGTATAGATGAGATTACGCCGGATCGAACTACGGAGGAAACAAGACATGCTCTGTCTACTTGCAATACTATGGTGCCTTTGGTTGTGGATACACCAGACCCAGCGCAGAAGTTGATAGATTATCAAGGAAAATTCCTTGATGAACTGACATTGGTCTATGTAGCTGTTGCAGGCAGTTTATTAAAAGAAGTTGGAATAAATATTGAGAACAAAATTTTCGACCTAGGAGGATTATTATCTCCCTTCCGACAACGCGTCTCGACGGAGTCGAGACCTTTTTGACGCAAGGGGAGAATGATGCAGAGCATCTTAACTAAATGGTTCCTTAGGCGTACTTTAATTAGTTTTTTATGTGCTTCTTACAAGTGTCTTCTAGAGTATTCTATTTATCTTATATAAGCAAGTAATGTAGTAGGAAAAGCTCATTGAATGATATATTACACTCTTTGAATCCTTAGAGCTTGCCTTTCTTCTTCTTCCCTGGATTGGAAAACCAAAATCCTTCTTGCAGGTCGAGTCTTCCGACGATCCACTACATCAGAAGCCTATGCTCAATCAACAGACATCATGAGATGGGTGGAAAGCCAAAACTCTCTCCTTTGGGGGTAGGATCCAATTTTTAAGATACACCATTTTTAATACTATTGCCTACTGGATTAGAGGCTCTATTTTACCAAAGAAATGTTTCAAATCTTTGGATAAAATTTGTTCTCGTTTCCTTTACTCTCGTGACATTGCTGCAAAAAAACTTCGTCTGATTGCCTGGAAAGACACCTGCATCCCTAAAATCAATGGAGGCATTGGCCTGCCCTCTCTTGATTCTTTATCTTTTACTTTCTGCTGCTCTATCATCTGGAGGTTCTTAAATGGTAGCAGTCTTCTTTTCTACTGTTGGCGTAATCTCTACACATCTCTCTGGTTTCCTCATAATAAGGGCAGTTCCCAGTTCTGGAACAAACTTTTTGTAATTGCCTTGCAAATCAAACATTGTCTGAAGTTTAGGATTCTTCCTAACTGTCATCATTCCCTCCTTTGGGACCCCTGGTGCCAAGGTAAATCCATCAGAGAGTTGGTTGTTTCTAATTTTGATGGGATCTGGTTGGACAACCTTAACAGGAAGACTGTGTCTATCATTCTGATGAATGGTAGCTGGAATTTGCTTAATTGCTGGCCCTCTGCTTTAACGAGTATTATAAATTCTGTCCCCATCTGCGATGTTGTTTATGGCTTCCTTTGGTCAAATTCTGAGAAGGTTACTAATAAAATTTTTCGGAAAGAATTTTATATGCATTATCCGGTGTTGAATTGGCATTATTTTGTTTGGCATAAGCATTCAGCAATCAGATTTTTTGCTTTTGGTTGGCTGGCTGTTAAGAATGGGCTAAAAACGACAGACATTTTGCTTAGGCGTGGTATTACTGTTAATCCACTCTGTACCTTCTGCTTGGTGAGTAGAGAATCACATTCCCATCTCTTCTTTGAGTGTGACTTCTCTTTTAAGATTCTATGTACATTGATCACTCAAGCTCACTCTTTACTTCTCCGTCCGAACATCTACCAAGTCTTTGATTTTGTTGACGACATCGCGGACTCGTCTGATATTCTGAATTTCTATTGCCTTTTAGTAAATACTGCTATTTACTACATTTGGCGGGCTCGTAACGACATAATTTTTGGCAATATCATAGAATGTCACACTACTGTGGTTAGAAAGATAAAATATGCAGTTCATGCTAAGTTGGGGAGATGGAAAAATGGCAGCAACCTATTGCATCTTTTGGGGTAATTGGTATTTTTGTGCTATTCCTAGCAGTTGGTTCTTGACTGTTGCTAAAATCTGGAACTGTTATATCTGTATTGGCTGTTGGTGCTGCTTCTGGTACTGGTTGAACTCTGCTGGGCGCATTTCCTGGTTGCCCACTGGGTTTTCCAGCAAGAAAGGTTTTTGGTTATTTCAGACAATTTTGCAGGACGATGATGACCGCTGCAGCTCCACCCCTTGGAGGGTCTTTATGACAACCAGGGGTTTATTTCTGACCAATTCGATGACCGAGTCCCTCGTTTTTAGCTGCAGCAAATGCCTGAGTCCTGATCAAATTTTGTATACCACATTTTTGTTGGTTTCATTGGTTAGTTTTTTTACTGGTGATATAGGTTTTTCCTTTTACAATTGTTGTATTTTTGGCCTTCTTCCCATTCCTGTTTTTGCCTGGGATAGGCTTTTATTTACTTGTAATTTTCCTTAGTTAATAGAAGAGCTATGGCCCCAAATTCCCCCCCCCCCAAAAAAAAAAAAACAGACAGCATGAGAACTCCTGCATTGTATCAGGATATGTGCTGTATAAATAATAAAATATAAATATATTTTTTAGGCAAGAAGTAGAAAGAGGGTTGACTCCTTTGTCGAGATGTAAACGCCGTGATATATATTGCCGTTAGTTTGCCGTCTCCTTCTACTCGTTAAATACCCCATTAACTACCACGCCTCCTCCCTTCATTCGCCTCTCTCTCTCTCTCTCCGCCTCCCAACACTGAAGCTCTATCCTCTCCTACAAAGCTGGTACGCCATTTACTTCTCCTTCTTCACAACTGTCTGCATGCATGCTGTATAGCTTCTCCAATTGAAACTTCTTCTTAGATCCTCTTCCTCGAGATTTCTGTTTAGGAATTAATTATCTTTAGTTCTTATTGCCATATTGTTTTCTTCACTAATTATCTTAAGGCATTCCTATTTTTTGTAATCGTAATTCATATATCCGTTTTAAAATGATGTCTTAACCTTTAACATAAATGTACAGAGAAAGCTGAAATTAAAGGGAGCTAAGAACAGAGGAGGAAGAAAGCTCAGCCGGCCGCCATGGGCAAGCAGGAGCTCCAAGTCCTGAACGCTCTCGACGTCGCAAAAACCCAACTTTACCACTACACAGCCATCGTCATCGCCGGAATGGGATTCTTCACCGACGCCTACGATCTCTTCTGCATCTCTCTCGTCACCAAACTCATCGGCCGGATCTACTACCACGTCGAAGGCTCCGACACGCCTGGTTCACTTCCCCCCAACGTCTCCTCTGCCGTCAACGGAGTTGCCTTCTGCGGCACTCTCTCCGGCCAACTCTTCTTCGGCTGGCTCGGCGACAAACTAGGCAGGAAAAAAGTTTACTGCGTGACACTCGGACTGATGATCGTCTGTTCGCTGGCATCCGGCCTCTCCTTCGGCCGCTCACCCGCCGGTGTTATGGCGACACTCTGTTTCTTTAGACGACGGTGGCAGTGCAATGGAGGACACGTCGACTTGCACCGGCGGCAGCGGCAGGGAGTTGAAACCTGCTGCAACGCCACCGACCATTGTGATGACTAGGTGTGAGATTTAGATGCCAGACATCATTGCCCGATCTATATCGATACTCTCTGATGCAGGGCGTGAAGAATATAGTGTTGTTTTCATGTCCGGAAGTGGAAGCTCCATCATAGGCATTAGCTCGCCATACCCGCTTCAATGTGTTAATGATGAAGATGAACACAATGATATTTTCATATCAGAGGCCTAGCTTCCTTTCTCTCGGCATGTCATGATATTCTTGCCTTTAGTATCTCTGAAATAAAAATAAATGATGTGGAGGTGTATGGCATTGCTACTGGATGTGGTACTCGGAGCATTTTTACTACTGGTGAGAAAATTTCTGGTCTGAATTTGATCGACAAAGCCAATCTAATGCAATGCCCCCAAGCTGTTCAACGTAATGTTAATGAAGGGTTTGACACCAAATTTTGTTGGGCTAGGTGATAAGCCTGTTGGTACTTCAATTATTGTAATGATACAAGCCAACATAGCAAAGGAAAATGCCAAAACTGATGGAACATGAAATACATTGATTAACATGCTTCTTGGAGGCTTGAAAGTGTGGTATGGAAATCCTATCATGTTCTCAAGATATGACACAAGTATAGATGAGATTACGCCAGATCGAACTACGGAGGAAAGAAGACATGCTGGTAATCTATTCTTTGCTCTGTCTGCTTGCAATACTATGATGCCTTTGGTTATGGATACACCAGACCCAGCGCAGAAGTTGATAGATTATCAAGGGAAATCCCTTGATGAACTGACATTGGTCTATGCAGCTGTTGCAGGCAGTTTATTAAAAGAAGTTGGAATAAATATTGAGAACAAAATTTTCGACCCAGGAGGATTATTATCTCCCTTCCGACAACGCGTCTCGACATAGTCGAGACCTTTTTGACGCAAGGGGAGAATGATGTAGAGCATCTTAACTAAATGGTTCATTAGGCGTACTTTAATTAGTTTGTTATGTGCTTCTTACAAGTGTCTTCTAGAGTATTCTATTTAGCTTATGTAAGCAAGTAATGTAGTAGGAAAAGCTCATTGAATGATATATTACACTCTTTGAAGCCTTAGAGCTTGCCTTTCTTCTTCTTCACTGGATTGGGAAACCAAAATCCTTCTTACAGGTCGAGTCTTCTGACGATCCACTACATCAGAAGCCTATGCTCAATCAACAGACAGCATGAGAACTCCTGCATTGTATCAGGATATGTGCTGTATAAATAATAAAATATAAATATATTTTTTAGGCAAGAAGTAGAAAGAGGGTTGACTCCTTTGTCGAGATGTAAACGCCGTGATATATATTGCCGTTAGTTTGCCGTCTCCTTCTACTCGTTAAATACCCCATTAACTACCACCCCTCCTCCCTTCATTCGCCTCTCTCTCTCTCTCTCTCCGCCTCCCAACACTGAAGCTCTATCCTCTCCTACAAAGCTGGTACGCCATTTACTTCTCCTTCTTCACAACTGTCTGCATGCATGCTGTATTGCTTCTCCAATGGAAACTTCTTCTTAGATCCTCTTCCTCGAGATTTCTGTTTAGGAATTAATTATCTTTAGTTCTTATTGCCATATTGTTTTCTTCACTAATTATCTTAAGGCATTCCTATTTTTTGTAATCGTAATTCATATATCCGTTTTAAAATGATGTCTTAACCTTTAACATAAATGTACAGAGAAAGCTGAAATTAAAGGGAGCTAAGAACAGAGGAGGAAGAAAGCTCAGCCGGCCGCCATGGGCAAGCAGGAGCTCCAAGTCCTGAACGCTCTCGACGTCGCAAAAACCCAACTTTACCACTACACAGCCATCGTCATCGCCGGAATGGGATTCTTCACCGACGCCTACGATCTCTTCTGCATCTCTCTCGTCACCAAACTCATCGGCCGGATCTACTACCACGTCGAAGGCTCCGACACGCCTGGTTCACTTCCCCCCAACGTCTCCTCTGCCGTCAACGGAGTTGCCTTCTGCGGCACTCTCTCCGGCCAACTCTTCTTCGGCTGGCTCGGCGACAAACTAGGCAGGAAAAAAGTTTACTGCGTGACACTCGGACTGATGATCGTCTGTTCGCTGGCATCCGGCCTCTCCTTCGGCCGCTCACCCGCCGGTGTTATGGCGACACTCTGTTTCTTTCGTTTCTGGCTCGGTTTCGGTATCGGCGGCGATTATCCTCTTTCCGCCACCATTATGTCGGAATATGCTAATAAGAAAACACGCGGGACTTTCATCGCCGCCGTTTTCGCGATGCAGGGCTTTGGTATTCTCACCGGCGGCGTTGTTACTCTTCTTGTCTCCGGCACTTTCAGAGACAGGTAATTTAAATTTTCCGTTTGACTTTTATGACCGTAAAATTTACTTAAAAGTCATAATTAAATATCAAAATTCAAGGTGAAAAAATTGGATTTTTAATACAAATTAACATCGAAACCAATGAAGTAAAAAGTAAAAAAAAAAGTAATTTTAATGTTGTTATCAACAGATTCAAGGCGCCGGCGTACAGTGTCGATCCGATTGGCTCCACCGTCCCGCAGGCCGATTACGTCTGGCGATTAATTCTGATGTTCGGCGCAGTACCGGCGGCCATGACCTTCTACTCTAGAATGAGAATGCCAGAGACCGCTCGCTACACCGCTCTCGTCGCCAAGAACGCCGAGCGTGCCGCTGAAGACATGGCCAAAGTTCTTCAAGTCGATCTCGAAAAGAACAACTCAACAATAATGGAGGAGAAAACAACCAAACAATTCGGTCTATTCACCAAATCCTTCGCTCGCCGTCACGGCCTCCACCTGCTCGGCACCACCACCACCTGGTTTGTTCTCGACATTGCCTTCTACAGCCAAAACCTCTTTCAAAAAGATATTTTTAGCGCCGTGGGATGGATTCCAAATGCCGCGACGATGAACGCGTTAGAAGAGCTCTTCAAGATTGCCCGAGCATCGACTCTGATAGCGCTCTGCGGCACTGTTCCGGGGTACTGGTTCACCGTCGCTCTAATCGATGTGATCGGGAGATTTTGGATTCAGATGATGGGATTTTTCTTCATGACTGTGTTTATGCTGGGACTTGCAATTCCTTACCACCATTGGGCTTTGCCGGGGAATCACATTGGGTTTGTAGTGATGTATGGGTTGACCTTCTTTTTCGCGAATTTTGGGCCGAATAGCACGACTTTTATCGTGCCGGCAGAGATTTTTCCGGCGAGGCTGAGGTCGACTTGTCATGGGATATCAGCCGCGGCGGGGAAGGCCGGAGCTATAGTGGGATCGTTTGGGTTTTTGTATGCGGCGCAGAATCAGGATAAGGCGAAGGCCGATCGAGGATATCCAGCAGGGATTGGTGTGAGGAACTCGCTCTTTGTGCTTGCAGCCTGTAATTTATTGGGATTGTTGTTCACTTTGCTGGTGCCGGAATCAAAGGGGAAGTCTTTGGAGGAAATGTCAGGGGAGAAGGAGGAGGAAGAAGAAGAAGAGATGAAGGAGAAGACTACTTTGATGGGCAAGGATGGGGACGACAAGGAAATTGCCAGCATAAGCTTTTAGTCTGATTGAGAGATTTGTATGGGAAAAAAATTTGATCAGAGTATCTGATTATATGATTATCAATTTATTTTGAGATGAATATAATTTATGATTAATTAATTAAATTTATATTATATTCATCTTAAAATTAAAAAAAATCCTAGCAAATTATTTTCTATTTTCTAGTTTATTTTCTTGAAGAAATTGAGTTGGAGTGAGTTGTGTTTGTTGCTTTGAAGTGAGAGATTTTTTATGTAAAAAATTGTGTATATTAAAAATTTGCCATGATGAATTTAAAAAATGTTAAATTTATTATAAAATGAGTGTAATATATAGATTGAAATTTGTACTGTAGTGTTCATTATATCTTGAATTATTTTTTTATTACAAAAAATTAGTAAAAGTATTACCATTTAATAATTTTTAGAGAAATATATTATCACAATAACAACAACAACATCAAGCCTTTATCTCACTACGTGGGGTCGGCTACATGAATTCTTTTTCTTCATTGTGTCCTATTAAATGTCAAATTCTCATTTAAATCTAATAAAGAAATGTCATTTCTAATATTTTCTAACCAAGTCTTTTTAGGTAGATAATTTTTAGAGAAGTTATCACAACTTAGAGTTTGTTTGGGGCCGTTGTATTACTGCTTTTTAAAGAAGTTTTTTTGTAAAAAAATAAAAAATTTATATTAAAAATTTGTTTTAAGAAATAGTAACAAAGTAGTCCTAAACAAAGCTTTAATATTTAGAAGAGATATTCAAGTCATATTTTGTGAGTATTCGTTAAATATTTTATAAGTATTTGCAAATTAAGTATTTACTAATTCACTGCATATTTATTGAATATTTACATACAAATACTCAATAAATACACAATAAATTATCACCAAATACGCAACAAATACTCACAAAATACTATGTAATACTCACAACTGATTATTTACAAATATGTTGCAAATAATCAATAAATACGCAATAAATTCAAACTGTTCTCATCGTTTGGACTCCACGTGTAATAATTTCTCTATTGTGATAGCACTTTGCTGCACTTTTCAAGACAATGATGTCTTTAATGATACTAACATAAATAAACTTTTGGCCTAATCTTCACCTAATATGAGATTCTAGCCAATATAATGATATATCTGCTTAACTTGAATGTGAACTTTCACAATGAACTTTTATTTTTAAAAAATATATTTTTTAATTTTCTTTGTGTGACACGAGTGATGCATAGCGAAAATGCCTAATGTAAGAAACAACTTTCACATATATATTGTTAGGCTTGGTTTGAAATGATTTTCTTATTGTTTTTAAAAATAGTTTTTTAGTAGACATATTTTAATTTTTCTATTAAAAAAATTATTTTAAGAAGCAATAAAAAAGTCGTCCCAAACAAAACCTTACACGAATTTCATTCAATGAGGGCCATGAGAGTCCGATAAGCCTGAGATTATGTGCTCTATAAATTGACATATTGCTTTTGATGAGTAGCAATAAATTTATCATTGATATTAGGGTTTTGTTTGGGATGACTTATTTACTGATTTCTAAAACAACTTTTTAGTATCATAGTCCGGTCCGATCAGTTTAACCAACCATGAATCTGTCTAAAGGCCGATCCGGTTCAACCTAAAAACCAATTTTGCTTGAAACCGGCCAATTTTGGCATTAACCGCTAATTTTATATTAAATAAATATTAAATTTAATCAAAATTAATATAAATATAAAAAAACTTAAATTTTAATATTAAACATGATTAAATATTTATTTCAACAATCTCAGTCTCACTCAGCCAATCATTTCTACTTTTTTTATTAAAATTAATCATCATAATTCATAAATTACTAATATTTTTATTTTCTTATTTAGAAAATAAAGCTTGATTTCCGTTGCAGCAAGGCAATTGGTTGCGGTCTCTAATCTCTATTGATTTAAAGATAATTAGACAAAATAATTAAATAATAAATGATTACTTTACTTCGCCGTTAGTCTAATTGGGAAAAAAACTAAGACAAATTAAAAATTTTATTAGAGAAATTTGACGTAAATAGAACGGCTTTGGATTTGAACTGATCTGCTCAAATAAAGTGGATATTATTAATAATTAGAATTATAATTCTAAATTCTATTTTATTAAATAATTACGAGTTTACGACTACGGTTGTCATCATTAAAAATATTCATAAAAGCTCCTTCTAATCACAGTTATATATATACAGTAAGTTAAAAAAGCCACGTACTTTTCCTTAATTCGAAACACTCATGCAAACGCTCGTCTCTTCTATTATAATTCATGAGATCATATTTTGGCTTTCTTGTTATTATTATTATTATTAGGAGTGGCAATATTTGACACAACATTAAAATTCAATATGAAAATTTCGGATTAGAATAAACCAATTTGTTAAACGGGTCAGGTTCAGATTGAACAAATTGACCCGTTTAAAAAATTGGACCGTATTTGGGTTTACCCGAAAACCCGATAATAATCCGAAATTTCGTCTCCCGGGTACATTCTGCCAGCACTCGCGACTCGTGAGTCAACCTCGACTCCGCCAGGCACGCCGTCCTGCGACCTCGCCGATCGCCTTCCACAGTTTCACCGTTCGTTCGACCCTATGCTAAGCTAAACCCTAAGCAGCTAGGCCGCCAGTGACATTCTGATTTCCCTCCCGACCGTCCCGCCGTCCCTCCTAAGCTAAACCCTAGGCCGTTCGTCAACTCCTTCCCGTTGATGCGTTGACATTCCCTCCCGAGTCTCGATGAAGATGTTCAAAATTCAATCCGGCGGTAGCTTCGATGAGAGCGACGATTCCTCCCATTCGTGCACTGCTTCTGCTGAAATCCTGTTCTATGTCGGGTCAACTTTAAAACCCGACGAGTCAGTCTGGGTTGAATTTCATGCCCCGCTTGCAAAAAATCGTTCGGTTCATGTCATGACAAAAAGGGTCGGGTCAGTTTCGGATTTGACTCGAACTCGACCCGCAACCCAAAATTGACACCCCTAATTATTATTATTATTTGCTTTTCTCAATTCACGTTTATCCTCTTCAAAAAGAAAATAATTTATTTTTAAAATAATATATTATAAATATATTTTATTAAAAGGTTACTTTATTTGAAAGAAAAAAAGACATTCGCAAATTATTTATTTTTTAAAATTGAGATGAAATTAAGAGATCACTTATGACTCATTTGGGACAGCTTTCTTACTACTTACATATTAATTTTCTTGAATTTTTTTTTTCAAAGCAGTGGTCAAAAGTTGGGCCAAACAATGCTTTACTCTCTCTAAGGAGAGAAGCATGCAGAGTAATCTCATGTATCTCAGTAGAAGAATGAATATTTTTGTTGAATTTAAAGGGATAAAGATAATATTTTTTTATTGTTTTCTTTTTGAGTTTTAGTGGTGATTTTCTTTTTATTTATTGTTTAAAATTTTAATATTTTTGAAAGAAAAAAATAATTTAAATACATTCAATTAGATGATAGCATTTAGAAAACTTAATCAATTTATAATATATAGCTCTTTATGTATTAAAAATTAAAATAGATTTAAGTTTAATATTTAAAGGGAATAATTGAAAATTTCATGGAGTATATTATTTGAGCTGAATGAAACATTCAGTGACTCTTATTTTTTGGGTGCTGGCTGTATTCACCCTAGTCTAGGTTTCTATTTATTCATTGTAATTTTGCTTAGAAGGGACCACCGGCTCATAGATTTTTTCTGGACTTTTTTTTGTAACTCTTTTGATCAGCAGTAGGGGTTTGGAGGACTCTTTAAGGATCATGTACATGTTTCTGAATATTAACACGTAGCCCCGTGGATGAGTTTAAACAAATAATAATAATAATAATTGATACATCCTCAAAAAATTATCTTGATTGGCCACAAATCTCGATGCAAACTCAAGTTGGAAACTTTCGAAATTAAAATTGGGACCATCCGAACTCCAATTTAAGCAAATTTACAGTCGAACTGAACGTCTCGAAAATACGAACCCAACAACACCAAATTCAACTCAATTTGAGCCCAAATGGGTCCAAATCAAGGGTCTGAAGCGTTGTTGGAGGGTTTGAACCACAATTTGGGTTACCAAATAGTTTCCAAACATGACATTCTTACTTTCGAATCAAGCGGCTCAACGAGACGAATCCAACGAGCCCAAGATCACTGAATTCCGACATCACAAAGACATTTAAATGTCCATCAAACAATCCATGATCAAGGGATTCAACATCGGCTGTTCATCCAACCACGCCCCATTTACCCTTGATCTCTCACCTATTTATGGGTCATGCCACTCCAGAAATCTATAAATAGACCTCTCATTCTTGTTGAAAGGGGGGACCAGAGAAAGAAGAGAAGAAGGACGAAGAGAAGGAAGAAAAGGAAGAAGCTCCACCTTGACCACCGTTGGACTTCCGCCGGACCACCGCTTGACGTCGTTACTCCGTCGAACCACCACCTAAGGCTCGGAATTCTATCAGACCACCACTTGAGGCCCTCACCTTCGCCGGACCACCGCCTGAGGTTGTTGCTCCTCCAGACCATCACCTAAGGCCCGAACTTCCACTGGACCACCACTTGAGGCCCTCACCTATGTCGGACCACAGCCTGTCGTCGTTGCTCTATCGGACCACCACTAAAGGCCCGGATTTCTGTCGGACCACCACTTGAGGCCATCACCTCTGCCGGACCACCGCCTGACGTCGTTGGTCCGCTGAACCACCACTAGAGGCTCTCACCTCCACCGAACCACCGCCTGACGTCGTTGCTCCGCCGGACCACCACTTGAGGCCCTGAGCTCCACCGGACCACCGCCTGACGTCGTTGCTTTGTCGGACCACCACCTGAGGCTCGGACTTCCACCGGACTACCACCTGATTCACGGACTTCTTCCAGACCATCACATGAAGCCCAGACTTCTGTCGGACCACCACCTGAGGCCAGAACTTTTATTAGGCCACCACCTGATGCCCATAGTTCTACCAGAGTATCGCCC